TGACTGACCATTCCATTAAGTTATGCCTATATTACTTAACATGAACAGAAACACTGTGTTGAATGCTGTTACTTAGAGCTAGAAATGAATTGGCATTCCATAACGAACTTTATCATTTGTTCGTTCATTATATTTCTATGCTACTTTTCACTCATTCGAGCCACAAAAGAGCTTACAAACCATTGTTGGTTTAGTGCTACGGACAGGGCCAGCCCAAGACATTTTGGAACCTGAGGCAAATCACAAAATGGCGGTCCCCTCCCCGCCAGGAAAGAAGGGGTGAGTGAAGATCTGCATCAGAAACAAGGCGGGAATAAAGATCTGTATTGGGATCCGCTGGCCCTATAAATCTTGCCACCTGAGGCAGTTGCCTCAACTTGCCTCATGTATGGACCGGCCTTGGCTAACTGTAGGACTCATTGTGGAGTTAGAATGTTCCATTGCGCCTTCCTAGGATTGGTGGACTTACCCAAAATAGACACATGGATGTAGGCAATGTCTGAGGCAATTGCCTCACCTTGCCTCTGGGTGGGCTGGCCATGCTGGGCACTGTAGTTGCTGGAAATCGTAACTATGTGGGGGGTAAACCATAGTGCCCAGAAGTCTATGAGGGAAATTGTTGTTGTTGTTTAGTCATTTAGTCGTGTCCGACTCTTCGTGACCCCATGGACCAGAGCACGCCAGGCACCTCTGTCCTCCACTACCTCCCGCACTTTGGTCAAACTCATGCTGGTAACCTCGAAAACACTATCCAACCATCTCGTCCTCTGTCGCCCCCTTCTCCTTGTGCCCTCCATCTTTCCCAGCATCAGTGTCTTCTCCAGGGAGTCTTCTCTTCTCATGAAGTGGCCAAAGTACTGGAGCCTCAGCTTCACGATCTGTCCTTCCAGTGAGCACTCAGGGCTGATTTCCTTAAGAATGGATGCGTTTGATCTTCTTGCAGTCCATGGGACTCTCAAGAGTCTTCTCCAGCACCATAATTCAAAAGCATCAATTCTTCGGCGATCAGCCTTCTTTATGGTCCAGCTCTCACTTCCATACATCACTACTGGGAAAACCATGGCTTTAACTATACGGACCTTTGTTGGCAAGGTGACGTCTCTACTTCTCAAGATGCTGTCTAGGCCTGTCATTGCCCTTCTCCCAAGAAGCAGGCGTCTTTTAATTTTGTGGCTGCTGTCACCATCTGCAGTGATCATGGAGCCCAAGAAAGTAAAATCTCTCACTGCCTCCATTTCTTCTCCTTCTATTTGCCAGGAGGTGATGGGACCAGTGGCCATGATCTTCGTTTTTTTGATGTTGAGCTTCAGACCATATTTTGCGCTCTCCTCTTTCACCCTCATTAAAAGGTTCTTTAATTCCTCCTCACTTTCTGCCATCAAGGTTGTGTCATCTGCATGAGGGAAATAACATGCTTCAAATGGACTTAAAGGCAATGGTTCCTGACCTTTTCGGTATGACATCCCACAAGTCCAAATTTACTTGGTATGGTGACCCGTTGATTTATTGTCAACTGAATTTTGGACCTTAGGGCTCCTCTGCTGCCAGTTGCAAGACAGCAGTTCCCAAGTGTTAAAATAAAATGCATGAGCCTTTCTAAGATTCATTTACAAGCGTCAACAAAGCATTATAGTATGCCAAGAAAGCAAGAAGCTATAAGAGGAATTCATCACATCAGTTAAGGATTACAAGCAATAATTTTTCTGGGACTTAGAGAGCCTGCAACCCACTTGCACAGACTTTGTGACCTACTCACAAGTAGGTTCAAAAATGCTGCTTTAAGGTATAGTGTGTGCACAGCTATTTTGTCTAGTTCAGGCCTAAGACACGTGACAGGGAGATTGTTGAGATCAATATCAAGATGTATCTTAAACCTGGGTCTTTCACAACACTAGTGCCCCTCATGCACTTAATGTTGTGTGCCTTGCCGCAAAATGGGGTTGTTGTGGAGGCCACAGCGCCTGGAATCAGGCATTGGTGTGGATGCGTCAAGTGACAAAGCCCATGTACAATCACACATGGGCTTGCACACAATTAGGCAGAGGCTTTGTCAGTTCAAATGGCTTCCGATGTGCTCGATGAACAGGGATAGGACAAACAGGGCAGCCTCGCTCTGTAATAATTGTGCAATTTCCCCTCTTGGTGTGATTCACAAGTGCAGGGCAATACTGAAAGCCCTGATCTTGTTAAGTTCAAAGTTATTTTGGCATTGGGGAGTTCTATTATAACTGGAAATATTTCACATTATCAAATTTGACAGGAAAGTAAGAAAGGTTGTCTATCTTATAGAGGATGGCAATTCTTACTTATTACCTTTTAAAGCTACATCATGCTTAATAGACACGCTATATTCTTCCTTCAAAATCCTGCAGAAGACTCCTTTATGGAGACCGGTTAAACTGATATTCTGGTTAAAAGCTTGAAAGTTATTTGATTCCTGTCTAGGTAGATCTCATTAAAAATTCATTCAGTTAATGAATTCGTAAGTTTCACTAAATATCCACCACCGAATAAAAGCAAGCTGTAATGTTAGGGTATGCTACTGACTCTAGTATTAAGGCAATATTTTGGCAACAGATCAGGGTAATTTAGTACACTGTCACAGCCTAGCCAAACATTTCAGTTTTGTGTTCTTAAGCAAAATTAACTGTTTATTTTTCAAGACACCTTTTCTGATTGATTTTGACAGCGGAACAGGGCATTGCTGAACTAATTAAACATCTGGGATTATCAACTGAAAATTAATCTTCATGTTCAGACTCCGCATTGGTTGTGCAACCTCCGGAGACACCACAGAAATCCCAATGGCCATTCCAAGCCTTAGAAATTCCAGACTCTGAAGGCAACTAATTTGCCTGACAATCGCAACAGTGTCTGAAAACTAGTATTAACTAACCAATTAAACAAGCCTAATTTATTTGGAAAATAAAAATAGATCAATTTTCTAGCTCTCCCCCAATACACACCACCATCTCTATGAAGCAACCAATCTATTTCTAATCCCTTTTATAAAATTGTATTTATTAATCATTTTGCTTTGTGTTAATCTCAGTTTTCACGACTGTTCTGCAATATAGGGGGAAGACTGAGAGGAACTTCCAAGTGAATGTGTTTGGGATTCAGGCATAAAGTTCAACGATTTCAATGAGTTGTATAGCTGCAGAGGAATTTGAGTGTGACATAGGATATTCCCAAAACACATGTATATACAGCTGAATCCTGTCCATGTTTATCCAGAAACAACTCCCACCAAGTTCAGTAGGGCTTACTGCCAGGTGCAAATGTCTGCAGCCTGCCTTCGCAGGAAGTCCCATAATTTCAGTCCTATGCACTCCCAGTTATGTGCCTGGATGGCCCAGATTCATGCTTCCAGACAGCAGCATTTGATCAATGAAGGCCACATAATTAGCACTGGTTTTTAATCGGGGCTTTTGGGGGGGCGACGGGGCTACTCAGGAAGTCTTCAAGCTCCTTTCCAGCGCTTGTTGTCGGCGGCAGGTTCTTGCCCGTCTGCAGCATGGTTGCCAGATGTTCCACCCATGAAAGGGCTGTCCAAAAACCATGACAGCCTCGCGCAACGCACTTGATTCGTCCCCTTGCGAGGCGCAACCCTCCCCCTTCTCTCCCTTACAGGCCTCCGGAGCGTCCCTTCCTTTATTTTTACGTTAAACCCGCCGCCAAGGTAGAATTTAGCAGCGCTGGACGGAAAACACACTGCGCACTAAAGGTTTCCTTTAAAAATACACCCAAACAGCTGGGTCGTGCGCCCAGGCGGGCGCAAGCAAGCGGGCCAGCCAACGAGCAAGCAATCGGGATCGTAAAAGCTCCTTGTTCGCGTTAGGCAGAGTTGCTGCACTCTTATTATTATTATTGCTATTCTTGTTGTGAAGTTGCGGGGAGCCCAGATCAAGATCGTTGATTGACAACCGCAGAGGCAAGCTGTGGCCACGCAGCCGGCAGTCCCTGGAGCTGCTCTGTGCTAGTAAATAATAGATCCCTCGATTTCTCTCCTCCTCCAACGGCCGTCCCCCCCCCCGCCCCAATTCCTCCTCCTCCTCCATCAGTCAGATCCCCAGCTTTGTCCGGGCAGCTCTTTCATCGCCTGCTTCCCACACTGCCTCCCCTCCTCCCTCCCTCGCTGTCCTCAATGCATGATGGATGGAGAGCCAGCCCGGGAGCTGGAGCGATCAAGCCTCGTGCAATCGCCCGGCCGTCCAATCGATTGCACCACCAAAAAAAATATAAATAAAATAAAAATGCTATTTGTTTCACTTCCTAGCACCGGGGAGGACGGCTTCCCGAAAGAAAGCGTGCCTTCAATTTAAAAGGAGGCGGTGGGGGAGGGCGAGAAACAGGATCCATTTCCTCGCCAAGTGCGCACCAGGAAGGAAATTCGTTGCTATTAATTAAGGAATTGCAACGAAACCAAACACCCCCAGCCCTGTCTCTCCTTGCTTGCAATGACACTTTGGGCTTCCTTCCACGAAAGGAGAGTCCTTTCCTTGCTGAAGAAGTGCCAGAAGGCCAGCAATGGGGCAGATAAAGATTTATTATTTTTCAAGGCCCCCTGGTTGCTTGCGTTCCCCTTCCCGCCCACTCCTCCCCCTAGATCGCCAGGAACAAAGAAGGGGGAAAGCGTCTGGGAGCTGGGGGGGGGGGTGTTTGAGGATGATTCCGGGTTTGGCTCGTCGGGTCTGCCTGAGGCAGAGCTCTCCAGAGCTATTGATCTCTGCACATTTCACCCCGTGGTCGCCAAGAGAGGTTTCCTGTCTCTGTGGAAACTCTGTCTCCGGATCCCATGTGTCAGAGCTCATCTGGGAGAGCATTTCTACCTCGAAAACGGCATCAGCTGGAGAGATGCGAGGCCGCTGTTCCCCAGCCTCTGACAGTTAACTCATTTCATGCAGCCGTGCAATCAGTCACATGCACGGGTGCAATATAAGACCACCTCCCCCTTTATTATGCAATGTGCGGATAAACACACACCTACTATAATAATATTAAATAAATGTTCTGTATTCCAGTCCATTATAGCCACGGAGAAAACACAGCGACCCTCGTTCCATTTTATTTTTAAAAAGCAACTCTTAACACATGCAAGGAGGGAGTAAAGAGGCGCTCGGTTTGTTCCCCTTCTCCGCCTTACAGTACTTTCGGCACAAGCTCGGGGTTTTATAATCCGAATTAATTAATCCGGAGCAAGTACCGCCGCTTGGTTCCGTTTACACACTCGCAAACGTGACTGTCTTCACTCCACCCATACTTCTCCGTTGAGAGTGAGAAATATCCGCTCTTGCAGCAACCCTGATGATACACCGGGATGAGTAAAAGGGCGTTAAGGGCCATCACAGACCCGGTCGGGGCAGGTGATGTGGAGTGTGCGCCCTTAGTGGTTATTGGCAGAGTTACAGGGCTGAGTAAGTCACCCTTGCCCAGTCCTCACACAGCACCTGGAGGTAGGAAACAGACTCTGCACTGCAGGGTTAGCTTTGTGGATGTAGGAAGCCCCTATGAGAGGCAGATCCAGCCTCTTTTGCCACCTAGAACCCTTTAATGTCTGGAGCTGCTAGTACGATTGGATGCAGTTGCGACGAAGAAGAGGTGCGGAAGAAAGGGAAATCGGGAGGAGGTCGAAAAGGCGGCTATTTCCATAGGAAGGGGAACTGCACGCTGGCGCAATCGATCGCCGTCTCTGCATGAGTCCCTGTTCTGATACTGTTCTGCAAACACGCGGTTTCCTGTTTCTGGCCGATCCAAGCGGACGGGGCTGGTCCCGAAGTGAGAAAGAAAGAAAAAATAAAAGCTTGCTGACAACCCCCCCCCCCATTGCATAGTTTACGCGGCGCTTTTGAGGCCGGCGTCAGCGGAGCTGGGAGGGAGGGAGTTTCTCATTCGGGGTCTGCAGTAGCAGAGGCGAGAAACTTCTTTTCCCAGGGACCTGGGATACAAAAAAAGAGACGGCGGCACAAAGGCAGACCCCGATATTATTTCTTGCAAAGGGGCGCGCACGCTCTCTGCTCTCCGCCGCTTCCCAGCACCACACCGGATGCCAATCGGGAGTGGATTTCGCCGCTGTCCCGCCAGTATTTTCGAGAGGAGGGCCCCAAGGGTGTGCGTGTGCGTGTTTAGAAATCCGCTGCGTGGATGCCCTTCGCTTTCCCTCCCCCTGACGGCGTGCTGCTGCTGCTGCTTTTGCAAAGAGGCGGTGCTGGCAGCTGCTGCGTTTCCTGGGGAGATCGGCTACCTTTGTTTTTCTCTTGCACCGAATCCCACCCCCACGAGGAACACCCCGCACACGCTCGTGGGCCGGGCGTGGAGGAAGCAGTTGGGGGGGGGGCAAGCGAGGGGCAGCTGCCGCTTCTCTCTCCCTTTTTCTCCTCCCCTCCTCCCTCCCCTTCCACCCCCCCCCCCGGTGTACTTTGCTCGGCTGCTCCTCCTCCTCTTAAGGAAGTTTCCTCCCCCTCTTCTTCTCTTCTCTTCTTCTACGAGCGCCGCCGCTGCACTTCCCCATATTTCGCAGCCTTGCCTAACCGCCCGCCCCAACTACTCCCGGGTTGGGGGGGCTAGAGAGAGAGAGAGGAAGGGCTTTGGCCGGCGGACCCCCCCCCCTTTCCTCCAGCGCGGTGGGGCTGAGCCGGGCACCCTGAGCGAGGCCGAATGCCGGTGGCGGCGGCCAACTCGCACCCCCGCGCGGTGCAGCAGCCCGACGCCCGCCCCTTCGCCGCCTCCGTCCGCCTCCGGGACCGGGACCCCGCCAAGCAGCACCAAGGCGCCGAGGAGCCCCACCACCGCCACGGTCAGGCCGCCGGGGGGGAGGCGGCGGCGGCGAGGGCAGCCGGCGGCAGAACGGCGGCTCCTTCCGGCGCCGCTTCGCCGCCCGCCCTGCTGGCTTTCTCGCCGTCTTCTCCGCCGGGCCCGCCGCCGCCGCCGCCCGAGCCCCCACGGACTCGCTCGCGCTCCCGCTCCGGATTCTTCAGCCTCCTCGCCATGAACGGCGGCGGCGCCACAGCCACGGCAGCTGCCGCCGCCGCCGCCGCGCACTTCCAGCCGCCGCCGCCTCCGCCTGCCCCGCCGCATCTCCATGGGCCGAGCCTGCCCGAGTTGGGCGCCCGCAGCCAAGGCAGAGGGAGCCCCGCCGGACACGGGCACCCCAGGGCCCCGCCGGGAGCCAGGGCGCCCGCGCCAGGTAATGGTGGTGAAGGGCCCACAGGCGGGGTTTGGGCGAGGGAGTGTGGGGCGCTGGGGGGCGGCCATGTGGGAATGGGGGGGGCGGCTGTGGGGGGGTCTCGGGGGGGGTCTCTGAAGAGGCCGGCGGCGGAGCGGGGAGGAGGCAGCCTCTGAGGGAACGGGAGGTGACAGGATGTTTGTGAGGTGACTAATAAGTGGGTGCTGAGGTGAATTCCGCGTGAGGCGCCGAGCAAATACTCCAGAAGGCGGGGGCCGGGAACAAAAAAAAAGGGGGGGAACACCCCACAAAAAGGGGGAAACGGGGGGGGGAGGATAAAAAATAAAAAACTTGGGAATGCCTTGGCCCAGCCTTCAACTTAATCCTGTTTACTTGGGAGTTGGAAGTCCCACCGAGTTCAGTAGGGCGCAACTTCCTCGTGAAGTGCGTCGAGGATGCCCGCCTCGTCCAAAGAGCGCTGGCTCTTCAAAGCCTCCTGGCTTTTAAAAGGATGCCTTAATTTGCCAGGCGCGGGGTCTAAAGAGAAGCCATAATAAACCGAGGAAATGATTAAAAGCCAGAGACAAAGAGTAGAAAAAAACAACAACACCCCAACCACCAGAAGCACACCCCCCCCTCAAGAACATGTGGTAGGCAGGATGGAAATGGAAGCTGCTTTTCCTCAGAGGGGTGGGGTGGGGGGCTGAAGGTCCAACCCCCACAAAAATCAGCATTTTGATTTCCCACAAAAGTTGTCCCATTCAGCGCTGCTTCTCCTCCACGGGTTGTTTGCCATCGCCCCTTCCGCTTCTCAGGGGTGCTTTGCTCTTCCTCTGTGTGTTTGTGGGTCGGTGTTAAGTGTGTTAGTGTGTGTATTCTCTTTTAATATGAAGGGCATTAAACACGCTGGCTTTTTTTGTGTGGAGGGGCAGAGAGAGGGGAGAAGGCCTTGGACGTTGGGAGGACTTTTCCTGCGCTTCTGTCGCCTGCATGTTGGCGACACATGTGCATCTTCCACTTCTGGAAAAGAGGCTCCAGATTCTTTAGTAATAAACTTGGTGTAGAAGCCTGTGAATCGGAGTGGACGATTGTAGATTGTGTTGTCCCCTGGAATTGGAAGCTGGAAGACTGTCTTTGGAGTGAAATGGCAATAGTGTACATATGGAGATGAAAAAAACCCAAGCTAGCTTTGTGGGGGGGAGGGAGAAAGCTCACAACTAAACAACTTGAACAATTTTGCAGCTGGTGATTTTCAGAACAGCTAAAACTTTTAAGTGCATTGAAGCTAGAAATAATGTGACGGAGTTCAGTGTGGCGCTGAACCTAACAAGATGCTGTGGTGGGAGTTGAGAGAGAGGGGGGGGGAAACTTTTCACCTTTCACAGATATCAGAATTTGTGACTCTGGAAGACCTGAAATGCCTGCCAAAGAAAACTCTAGACCCGTGGTTCCCAATTTAAGGCGCACCCCCCCCCTCCACAGAGGGGCAATTTGATTTTTAAGGGGGGCAATTTGGAAGCTTGTTTAGACCAAGTTAATGGCCTTTTAGGCTTCCTCCATGTGAATGGGAGTTCACTTTTTGAATAATAAGAATTATATGTCACCAGGGGGTGGGGGCATCAGGATTTTAGAGATGCTTAGGTGGGGCATGGCCAAAAAAAGGTTGGGAACCACTGCTTTAGACCCTAGAACAACCACTGTCACAATAACATGCACTATATTACACAATAATATCAATACCAAGTAGATATCTGTACAGCAAGTATGCATGGTATATGATTTTTTTTAAAGGGAGTATTCTGGGTTTTCTTGGTTCCATAGAAAGAATCATATCATTGACAGGGGACCTTATAGTTGAGAGTGCCCATCTATTTGTAATTTAATTAAAATATTTTTTCCCCTTTAAACCTGTGATCGTAATTGCTTTCTTAACTGTTCAAAATCTTATTGGTTCTGCTTTTGACACGAGGTGTTCAAACTATCCCATGGCTTTACGAATAATAACTGATACAGTAAAGCAATATTTTCAGGTGTTTCATGACTAATACCACTTTATGAATTAAAAGTCTGGAATAAATTAGAAGTGCCAGAGCTTTAAGTCTTCTTGGAAGTCACTCCCTCTGCCCTTGATGATCTTCCTCCTAATTCCACATGTACGTGGGCTGGTTGTGGTTACTCACTAGGGAAGGAAAGACACTCTACAAGTTGCATTGCTCATATGAGCACTTCTTTAAAAATCAGGTGTCAGGTATCCATGAGTTCAGTATCAGATCAGGCTCTTGAACTACATTGTGATAGGTTCAAGTTTTGTCTAAATTAAGCAACTTTTTCTGGGTGCTGGACATAATAATTTTCTGCACTGCACCCACTAAGTAATGTAAAAATGATCAGTGTATTTTATTAAATGTCAACTTTCACCTCAGTAAGATAATCTTAGATATGATTTGCATTTAAAATAAGAGTTGCTTGTTAATACTTGAGGACATGAATTCTATTGCTCCCCTGAAAGTTCACATGTAATAAACCCCAATGAATTTGCATTTGTGGGGCTGGTATGATCTGAAATATGCCTGGTCCTGATTTCTTCAAAAACCTGTAAACCTAGTATGCTGATGAAACAGCAGAGAAAACAGTACTTGTGGGCTAGATGTGTATTTCTTTCAGCTGGGCAAAATCTTTTTTAAAATTGTGGTAGCTGAATTTCAGATAACCAAAAAAAGTTAAATACATCTTCTTTTATTGAATTGGCTTTGTGCTGAGCAGCTGATACCTGATTTTGAACGTTAGGCCTATGTCCTAATGCAGGCATAGGCAAACTTGGTCCTCCAGATGTTTTGGGACTACAACTCCCATCATCCCTAGCTAACAGGACCAGTGGTCAGGGATGATGGGAGTTGTAGTCCCAAAATATCTGGAGGGCCGAGTTTGCCTATGCCTGTTATTTTACAATAGTATTCAATGAGAGATACATCTTTTTCTGTTCAACTTTAAGAACTGCAAATATTTTTAAGAATCTCAATTCTAAACATTCTGGCAGATGCTTTGTTATTCCATTTTTATTTAATTTGAATACTTTTGAAGTCATTAAATGGAGTAATGTGGAATAAAGAGCAAAATATGTGACATAATTTGTAATGTATAGAGAGCATTCTTCAGTACTAGGTTATTTTTAATGTTTAGCTAAAGTGACTGATGTAGTCCTGGGGCAGAGCCAGTAATGATGGTACATGTAATACTTTCAAATAAAGTGTTAGTTTTACATTGGGCTGTAGTAAGTAATTCAAAATGGTTTCAGTTCTTCTTTTCATTAGAGTTATTTCTTAGACCTGAAAAATTTAGATTTGCATATTTACACCTGTACATGATTACTCAAGAAAACCCACTGAGATGATGGGACTAGTTTCAAGTAAGTGTGCATAGGAATTGTCATAGGAAAACATAAAGCACTCCCATTACATCTTGGAGACAAGTATTAGACTTTATTGCATTTTATTTTATTTTTAAAAATAAATGGAATAGACTTCCAATTAATGATGTCACTCTGAACCAAGAAGAGGTTACTTGTAGATGATCAATCCCTCCTTTTTCACACAACAGTGGCTTATCCTTGCATAGTTTCTGGTTGAACTATTGCTTCAATGGAGAGTAAAGCAATTGGGAGTTCATACTTTGGCTGACCTTTGTAGCAAGCCATTGTCATCATTGATACAACCCTTTACCTTCCCCTGTCCTCTTCCTATGTATGCTCTGCACAATCTTCAAATCTGCTCTGAGAGGTTGGGGGAACCCTCAAGACAGATTTAGGAGGCACATTATTCAGTTTATTCAGTCATTGAATAAACTCGTTATATAAATTTTTAAATCTGTGGTAAGCTTTCAAGTTATCCAGAACTCTTCTTCAGGCAAGATGGTATACAAAGCAGGGGTTGAGGGTGGGTGGGTGGGTGGGTGGGAGACAAAGGAAAACAAGGTTCAAACATTAGGATGATGTTGTAGCTGTGAGGTTAGCTTGTTCTAAGATTGCAGGCTGGATAAGTCCCTCTCAGGTGCTATAGGAACCAGGTTACACATGTAGAATTCTGGGATAAAAAAGCAATGAGTGCTACTCATTTCTGAGAAATCAAAGTCTAATTTGTAACCCAGATCAATCCCAAACCTTAAATGGAACACACAGGTTGCTGGGAAGGCAGAGACCAGAAGTAAAGGGAAACATGGCAGCCTTTAATTTAGCAAAGCCACTGATTAATTTTGATGTACTAAGTAAAAAAGCCAAATGAAGCCAAATTGTATAGTATTACCAAGCGCTTTGAGGGGATGTCCTTGGCTGTGCTAAATTAAAGAGACCTTGTGTAACACCTTCCCTGATGAAGAGTTCTAGAGAACTCAAAAGCTCGCCACACTTTGGTGACATTTTGGCTGGCCCTGCTAAAGGCATTGCCCAACTGTGACTGTTGGGTAAGTGAGGTGTCTCATATCATGCTGGGCTTGGAGAATTTGGGAGAGGAACAAGAGTCTGCAGCTGCATACATCTTACCATTTATTCTGGCTCCAGTGCGCTCCCGCTGCTGAGTATAAATCTGTATACAAATGTTGTTACTAACAACCCTGTACTGTAGTTCAAAAGCTTTCCAAACTGTGTCATAACACATTAGTGTTTTGGCTGCAGTGTGTAGTGTAGGTGTGCCACACACACACTCGCCATGTGTCACCAACATGAAAAGTTTAGAAAGCTCTGCTGTAGTTTCTTTAGAAATACTGCTGCCTGATGCTTTTTCTCTCAAACCAGCTTCAACCTGGAAGGAAAACTTAAGCCACATTCACTTTGCAGTTAAGCTGAGGTGTGCACACTGGAGACAGCCATTGTGCATGCGTGGATGACAGCTTATGCACAGATGAGATCTTCATGTTCGGAGGGAGGGGTTGCAGGGGCAAGGAAACCAAACAGGTAACATGCATCGGTGAAGACATCCCCACATCTTCTGTAGTGTGCATATAAATGTGCACATGCAACTTGAAATGCA